GGGTCACCCCCAACATGGCCAGAAATCCTTTGGAGAAGGCTCCCAGTGGATCAGACAGAGCGTGGCTCCTGCCTTGGGGCCCTGGGTCCTTGGCTGACCTCTGGGTTCAGAGGGATTATTTGTGATGAGGTTGTCAGCACGAGGAAGGAGAGCTGCTCAGTGTGTGCAGCCCTGCCTCTGCAGGCTGAGAGGTGTCTTCTGTCCTGGATTTTGAGGAAAAAATAATTAAGAATCGTTGTGTTTAGTGTGGCCATGATAATTTGGAAGTATTCAGATGCAGACAAGATGTTATTTCAGCTTCCCCTGGTGAATATTAATAGCAGGAGAAGCCTTTCACAGTAAGACAAAGCAGAGCAGGCATCGGTGACTCTGGCAGTGTTGTTAGGTAATTAAAGTGTATCAGGTGTGAGCCCTTTTCCTGGCGTGTGTGGAGCTCTGCCCTCCTTCCTGGGAGCTCTGCAGGACCCTGAAAAACCCAGCTCAGCCCTGGCATCAATTATAAATCAGGCTGGTTGCTGTTTGCTGCCTGTTTTATTTTGTAGCTGGGGACAAAGGGTTTTCCTTCTGAGTTTTGGAGTAAGCGGTGTTGGGCTTTCTGAATGCAAACTGTCCTTTTCAAACCAGGGTAACAACAACTTAGCCAAAATTCAGGTGTGTTTACACAGCCCTGTTTGGAAGGGTTTGCTTGAAGCCAGCCAGGTCATTGCAGAGTCATGGAATAGTTTGGGTTGGAAGGACCTTAAAGCACATCTGGTTCCATGGGCAGGGACACGTTCCCCTGCCCCAGGCTGCTCCCAGGCTGGACACTGGCAGGGATGGGGCAGGCACAGCGTGTCTGGGCAGTGCTGCTGCTTTGCTGCTGGCAGCAGGAGTGGCTGCAGCACTCTGGGCTTGTCCTGCCCTGGGGTGACCCCCCTGCACCCCAGCCCTGTCCCAGCTGGCTGGTGCCACCCGCTGTCCCCCACACCGTGCTGGGGATGCAGAGGGGTCACGGCTCCCTCCCAGCTGTGCTGGTGCTGTGGCAGGGCTGTCTCAGGGAGCTCCTGATGAATATGCAGGTGTGGGATTAAAGGGATGAATGAGGAGCAGAATTGCTTTCCGAGCTGCAGCCCTGCTCTGACCTCCCGAGAAGGGCAGATTGTAAAGCTGGGGCCTGGAGTGGAAAAGCAATTACAATACACTGCCAGCATTGAATTGTCCTCACAAAGTCAGATGCTGCAATAATGGCAGCGTTGTTTAGCTGGAACGTGACTTCACTTAACTGCTCGCTGTTTTTCTATTAATGCTCTGAAACGTGTTCACAAACAGCTCTCAGGCCTGGCTGCTCTGGGGAAATGGAGCTCACTGTTCCACCAGGAAGGTATTTCTCTGCAGGAACTGTTCTTCTGAGCTTGCTGCCTTTTATTCCTGTGTGTTTTAGTTCTCACCCCTTCCAGATGAGAGGGGCTGGAGGATAGCCCTGTGGCAGTGCAGTGTGCATTGGGTCTTTAGGATGTTGGTTGTTGTGGAGCCAGGGACAGCTTTCCATGGGGTCCTGGGGTGTGGAAGTGTTGGCTTTTGGGCTCAGAAGCTGGTGTGCTATGAAGCAGGGCCCGGGAGGGGAAGCCACGGACAAGGGGGATTAATAGTCTGAGCAAGCTGGGGTTGTGGGAGAGGAGACACTGGAGAGACCTTCAGAGCTTCTCCCAATGCACTGAGGGGCTCCAGGAGAGCTGGAGAGAGACTTTGGGTAAGGGATGGAGGGACAGGACACAGGGAATGGCTCCCACTGCCAGAGGGCAGGGATGGGTGGGATACTGGGCAGGAATTGTTCCCTGTGAGGGTGGGCAGGCCCTGGCACAGGTGCCCAGAGCAGCCCCTGATCCCTGGCAGTGCCCAAGGCCTGGTTGGACATTGGGGTTTGGAGCACCCTGGGGCAGTGGGAGGTGTCCCTGCCATGGCAGGGGGTGAAATGAGATGAGCTTTGAGATCCCTTCCAACCCAAACAATTCCATGGCTCAGTGCAGCATTAAAGAAGCAGAGCTGTGTGGTTGTGGGTTTGCTGCCTTGTGCTGGAGCCTTTCTCTTGTTAAAAGAGGGGTTTTGGAGGCTCCCTGGAGCAGCTGGGAGGCTCTCCAGGTGCAGGTTTGCCCAGAGCGTTTCTGCAGAGCCAGTTTGGGTTTGTTCTGCTCTGTGGGGCTGGGGGGGGGCACCCCAGCTCCTGCCCTGTCCCCTGTGTGTGGGGTGGGTCTGCACGGCCCTCAGGAGCACTGCATGTTTGTGTGGCTGTGTTCTGCAGGGACACAGTCTAAATTTAACTGTTAAACCCCTGTCTTCACTGCCAGCAGAGGTTAAGCAGAGGTGGCTTAACTGGGAGCCTGGAGTTCTTTGTGGGTCAAACAAGCCTTGAGTTTTTGGATGCAAAACCCTGCTGAGACCTACAGGAAAGAGCTTTAAATCCTTTCCCCTGTCCCCATGAAAAAGCTGCTTTTTCAACTGTAATCTCAGCACAAGCATTTGCTTTGAGTGCTTGAATTGCTGCTTTTACAGTTCTCTGTATTTTCCTAGAATTTGTTAAATTGCCAACGTTATTCACATGGCACTTTTGGCAGGTGCCACCTACATGCCCTCAATTTGAAGGTACCTTTCAGGAGCAGTGTAGGTAGGGAGGCTCCTCTCCTGCATGTCAGATGTTGGAGAGCGCAGCACTTCCATTAATTCACTTTCCCTGACCTTTCCACTGCTAATAAGCCAAGCTGGAGCACAATGCAGCACCTTAATGAACAGACCTGAGCCGAGCAGGGGCTGCTTTGAAAAATGTCTTGCTTGACTTGTTCGTTGGGTGTAATTTTGGTCCATTTATTCACCATGGCACAGGCACAGGGAGTTCTTGGTGAGAGCAACCCACAACCAAATACAGCCCTTTCTCTCCTTCCTCTAGTGTTTAGAACTGGAGAAAACCATGTCAATAACTGCTTGAAAAGAGCAAGATGGTTGGTTAGGCTTTTTCTCTGAATCTGCTTGGTTTTGAATAATTTTATTCTCTGGGGGGCTATACAGTGATCAGAAAAATCTCATTTTTAGAAGAAATATGCTTTTGAGTTAGGATTCTGTAGATTTATATCAGCTCATGTAATGTGCACTGAAAAATGCACACTTCTGGGTTATGAATTTTGTAGATTAAGATCAACTAATATGTAATGTACACTTAAAAATCCCGTTTGCATTTAGGAATGAGTTTATTAAGCACACAGAGCATGGGATCATAATTTCCAGGAACTGCCAGGCTGTTATTTCACAGAGAAGGCTCCTGAGCCCCCCAGCCCGGGTGACACAGGGAAAATGGGGTTTTGGGGAAGGGATCTGTGCGTTTCTCGACCAGTTCCTGTTCCATTGTTGTGCAGTGGTGCTCCTGGGTGTGACCTCTTGGGAAAGTAAAAGTGCTGGGGGCAGGCTGTGGGGTGCTGAGCAGGGTTTTTTTTATTTATGGGTGTTCACAGGGCACCCAGGTGTGCTCTGGGGAGTTGTGGCCTCCGCCCTGAGGAAGCGGCACTGGCTGGGGGTGAAGTGGCAGCGAGACAGACACACGGTGTGGCTGCCATGCCTTGTTTTCCACAGGTGT